AAATTTGGCCCAATTCCAAAAATGTGCCGTAATGTTTAAATGCAGTTTTTTGTAAAGATCATATATTCCTAATTATATGTTACTTAGAGAGGTTGACTGCGTCTCAAAGTCATTGCTGAATGAATTTTTTTTTTTTTTTTTGTCCTACCCCCCCCCCCCCAAAAAAAAAAACAATGGCCAAAAATTAGAGGTCATTCATCAAAAAATCAGTCACGATTGTTACGAATTCATGAGGTTTCTCGGAGTGAACTAAAATATGATAGAATTGTAAGTGATTGAATTGAATTAATATTATTGGCATTAATAAAAGCAGGAATTACCCCAATGACCAGCATCTAATTCAACAATAACTGAGTTGGGAAAGAACTTCCTAATCGTGGGATGAACCTTAAATAAAATTATTCATACTTATGGTTAACAATAATAATGAGACGATTAAAAAATGCATTTAGTATTATGTCAACCTTCGAAGTGATATAATTTGACTTAGTCCCAGCAACAAAAAGTGTAGCTTTATGGAAAGAGTGATGAGCAGAATCAAAAGGAAATCCGGACAATGTTTCAAGTGAATTGCTAAGGATGTCTAATGGAATACGAAATTTGTATACTCCTGTTTCTGGATCTTTCTTAAGATTCGTCAACAAAAATTGTCGTATATTAATGTCCTATTGGTTTAACAATATATAACAACCAACATATAAATTAGTATACCAAAAGATATTTCATAAAGTTATTTTATTAAAGACCTTTTATACCGAAATATAATCTTTCATCATTTCATCAGCCTGACTATGTTTCATGACCCCAGTTTGCTCAACTTTTTTCATTACTTCGGTATAAGTATAAAACTCTTTTGATAAGTCAGTATTAGTTGGTGCACTGTCGACAACTACAAGTTGATCAATCTGAGATACTTGTCTAAGAGCCATTGTCATAGCTACTTTCCCTCCCCTAATCAACAAGTTTATGGTTTGTTGTAATTCTAACTATATGCTTTACAATATATGCTATACATACATAGAATGTCCCATTAAATTTGTTTTTTTAAGTTGGTGTTCGTTCATGAATGTTACAACATCTTCAGCCATAGCTTCATGATTATGCACTTTGGAATGTGGGCTTTCACTATGATTTCTTAAATCCTAAGGTTCAAATTATTAGAGTATAAAAATGAATAGTTGTACAATAAAATTAATCTTACCAAAGTA